GGAGACTATAAGTTCCCAGCCATTTCCCAGCGCTCCACATAGCCCTTCACTTTTTCTTCCCCCTTTTTTTTTTCTTTCTTTCTCTGTTGTCCGAAGTCTACGGTCACGTCACTCCCTGTGGCTTTTCAGCCATATCTCATATGATGCAGATCCGATTTTTTTTTTTTTTTTTCTTATAGTATTACGGGGAACCCCTGTAGCAGCCACATCCGTGCCCAAGCCTCCAACGAAGGAACATCCGGGAGCTGCACCCACCTGCAGGTGCGATACCTGCTACAGTAGGTGGGCGATACCAGCCAGGGGTCACCCCGTAGCATCAGGACCGAGCCTATTGGCTAGGCCAGTCACTGTGTCTCCCCTCCGGTCCCCTCCCCCTATGAACATCAACAGTCTCTGCTCAATGCCACTCGGGGGGACCAACGGCATATCTCTAGGTGGCGGGCACCAAGCTTGCCCAGGAAGGTACATGAGGCTAATGGGGATTGAACCCAGAACTTCTTGAATGCAACTTGCATGCCTTACCAATTGAGGTAGGCCGCTGGATCAGATCCAAGTTCAATCCCAGTTGGGATCCAAAAAAAAAGACTCGAACCTGTTCTCGATTTGTCCACGAGATCTCATGATCGATCGGCCGAGTTCGGCCGCGCTTGAATGCCTTATGAAAATGCCAGCTCCAAAAGGAGCAACTCCTGTTTGTGAAGAGTTGTGCCCAGCAGTCCCCTCCAGCCTGTAGCACAGCAGGCCCCATCTGTCTGCCTTGTCTGCCGCTCTCCCGTGGATGGCTGCCCATCCACGGCTTAGGGGTCACGCAACGGGTAGGCCGCGACATTGACCTGCCGGCCCCCTCTGGCTCGAAGTCAACCCCCACGTCCAAAAAAAAATAAAACTCATTTTTTCCCCTGCGCCGCGGCCCTATTTTAGGTAGATTATGTATAGCTCTAGTCTTTCCACAACCACGCATCCCTGCGGCCTTGTCGAGAACCGCGGACGACCGATCGTACTGCCGACTCCAGCTGCTCCGAACAAACGTCAATGACGTCACATGTCAACGACGTCCTACGCCAACGACGTCAGGCTTTAGGTCCCTCAATTATAGGTTTGGTCTGAATAAACTTTGGCAACGTCAATCTCATCATGTCTCCCAATCCAACAAAAAGTCGGACAGCGTCTGACCTTGAAAAACTCGGGCAGAAACCCTTACAGGGGTTTCTGTCCCGACAGCCTTCCCCGTCCCCATTAAGCGACGTCCCCGTCGCTTATCATAAGCAATACAAGGGGAAGTCTTTATAAGATCTCACCAATTATATCACATAATCGCATTATATCTGAAATTAATCCAGATCTTACATACTCACTCATGAAAAGTGACATTTTCGTCGTTCATCTTTCTTTCCTTTTATAATCACATGGATACTCTTATATGAAATACTCCATGCATATTTCATTACTCACAATACATCAAACATTGACTTACTTTTAATCATAACAGAGGCTTACTTTCAAGCCTTAAACAGATAGAGGCTTACTTTCAAGCCCTTAACATACAGAGGCTTACTTTCAAGCTTTTTGATTCTTTCGAACGTTCCTTCGAAGGCACTTTCATTCAGTCACGAGTTGGAATGGGGCCAGAATTAACCTCCGACGGGTCTTTCCCCGGAACCTGGAATCCACCGTTGGCTTTATCCAACCTGAGGAGTTACAAGAACATTTCAGAAGAATGATCCTAGCGTCATCCCACTGGCGGCCACTCATTCTCTCTTCTTGTCTCTCATAGATGGGTCAGGCTTATCCCCCTGTTGGGACTTTCTTCAGGCTATAACCCCCTGTCTAGGTCTCGTCAGGCTTAACCCCTTGTGGTTCTTTCGTCACACAGCACATACTGCCAGGAATTTAACCTGGGCCTCTCGTGTCCATGGGGGTGCATTCCTAACACCTCAGCATGTCTCTCGCTGTCAGGAGTTTAAGCCGAGCGCCCCACGAAACACAAGGGTACTCACACTATACTACAGCATGTGTCGGTACCATCCCAGAGAGAAATCATGCTTTCAGAAGTCCTCGTCCAGTCCGGCTAATTCCCACTCCAACTTAATCACCATGCATGATTTATCTCCTACATGTCTTGTGAATGCGTCGAGGAGTGGTGTAATCCATGGAGGATAACATCTCGACGTCAAGCCCCACTTTAGACTCGAGCCTCACCACCTTCCCTCCGATTCCAGTATCATACATCCGTTAGTACCCTACCTGCAAGGTTGAACTACCCCTCCCTTATGACCTAAGCTGATCAGACCCGGCCATAAAGTCAGGCGACCCCATCCACCACAAAAGAAAAGGTGATCAATCTTTCCCTCATGGCGAGCGGTAATCGCCACCCTCACAAGCTAGGTTCCAACAAACATATTACCACCTTCCTCCCTTTCGACGATAGTGTAGTCATCCCCCTCGAAAGGAGAAATGACAGCATCCCGCTATGGACCAGGAACAAAGTTTCGGCGCAGGCCTCACTACCGTCTACGGGGCTCACAACATTAGGATTCCTCATTGCATGACAATTAACACAGAGTCAAGTCATAAGGTAAGATAAATAATTGAATCACATGCCTGACGAATAAACGCATGTTAATCCAGTCAGCCATATAACTCAAGTACAGATAATCCCCCTTAGACTCGCACTGACGAATTTTTACATTCATAATCACATACACGGAGTCCCATAAGAATTCCAGGTTTTTTTTTTCAGTCCTTCTCATATATGATGAACACTTCAACAATATAAGTATCCATCAGCTATTTCACAATACACTTCTTGCAATGAACATCCAATCATGATAAAAATCTCACAAAGTCCTTTGGTATCATAATCATCTTGCAACAAGAGTCACAATCCCATTGATAATTTTTCAACCTCAATACTTCAATTAATACTTTACAACTTTCTTGGTTAGCCTAAGACAAAAGTCAAAACCAACTGAACCATAATACAAAAGAAAGAAGGTTACCAAAATTGATGTCATCAATTACCTCCTCTACCCTTCCTTTCTAAAAGTTTTCACTAAACTCTTGGGATAATCTTCCGTAGATGTGCACCCGATACCCAATTTCTACTCCGAGATCCATCCAATTCCTCTATTTCATATGCCCCATGTTCTATTTTTCTAGTGATCCGATATGGTCCTAGTCATCGACCGTCTAGTTTTCTGGACCACTGTTTTTCTAGCGACATATCATACAACAAGACGATGTCTCCCACTTCCAACGACTCTTTTCGTATACGTGGCCTCTTGTCCCATCTTTCCTTATCAGCCTGCCTGCTTTCAGAAGTAGAGACAGTCGCGTCTTCAATCCGTTCTTCAGTCACCATGATCTGTCTTGCCCTCAATTCTAACAACTCTTCGTTGAGAGTTTTGTTTCCACGTCCTGTTTCTGCCAAGTGGTAAGGACACTCTCAATCGGAAAAGTCGCATGCCGTCCAAACCATAATGTGACGGGAGCATACCCGGTTGTTCGCTTGATGGTAACATTCTCAACAAAAAAGGTTGTCCTCAAATACATTGGTCATCTTGATGGTTCCCCCTTGCACCATTTAGCCAACAAGTTAGACAAGGTGGTATGTCCTCGTTCCACGGGTGCATTGGTCTGGGGATGCGCTCTCGTCGTATAACTGAAACTCACCCCAAGTCTCTTTAAAAGCGTTTGCACCTCGTTTGCTCGAAACTCGCCTCCTCGATCCATAACAATCTCTTGAACAAATGGATAACGGAGGTAATATTCCTCAATGCACTCTGCCAAGACTGATCTAGTACGTTCGCGAATGGCACGACCATCAACGAACCAGTCAAATTGTCTCGTGCATCAAATATGTATCTGTATCCATTTATCCCAGGTGGCATTACCAAAATGTCCAAATACACCACCGCACCTAGTTCTGCCATATAACGTGGATTCAGGGGCTCGAGGTAGCGGATGTTAGACCTCTGCTGGCAAGGGAAACAAGATTTACAAAAGTCAATCACCATCTTGCTCATCCCTTTCAAAAAATAAAGACATTGGATCTTGTTCAAAGTTACCCGCGCAGATCTGTGTCCGCCGGCTACCCCATCATGCAGGGCAGCAATCACATCCAATTGTCGAGAGATCCCGCATACCACCCTCTTTGGGACACCATCAGCAGCCTTCTTAAAGAGATGACAACCACGAACAACGAATGCTTTGCTTTTCTCTCGCACAACCGGATCAACCTCACTTTCGCTCCATTCCCCATTCAACCACATACCTATTTTCTTATATTCCCCTTCGTACTCCTTTTCCTTAAACGCTTCTTTGACCTCACCGCCTCCTTCCTCCGCATTCATTAACCTCAGGCGATCCTTGTAAACCAACAAATTCATGATATATGATATTCTTCCAACGATCTGGAAAGCGTCATCAGCCCGCGTATAGCCCTGTTCAATCATTAGCGGATCAAGCATAAGGTCGATGTCACCAGTCAAAGCCAGCCTCATCATTTCCTCTGCGGTCTGCTCGCCCCATGGATCCTCTTCGATGAAAGGTTCCTCCACCACGAGTTCTGGACGTACCTCGTGAAAGGCAAGAGCATTCCATATCGATTTCCCATGCCGTGTGGCTGCATCAGTCAAGTAGGCAAGAGTGTTAATACTCAATCGCGCCTCTTCTTCCTTCAGAAAGGCATCGACCGGAACTGATTCTTCCGCCTGATCCGCCTCTGGGTCCCATTCAACCCGACTCAACCCATCAGCACGATTCTGACTCCCCGAAATCCGCTTGATTTCAAAGTCAAACATCCAAATATAAGTCAATCATCTTGCAACGGTGGGATCAACAGATGAATAATTCCTTAAGGATTGAGCCAATGCAGTCGGATCCACCCGCAGGATGAAGCGTCTACCGAACACATAATTCCGAAAGATGCGGAAGCAATGAAGCACGGCCAAAGTTTCTTTTTTGAACTGGGAATAGTTCCTCTTAGCAACATTCAGAGTCCTGCTCTGAAATCTGAGAGGCCTTTCCTGCCCCTCAGCATCCTTATGAATCAAGACTCCTCCTAGGGCTGTGGACCCCGCATCAGTCTCGATAACAAAAGGACGTTTTTCATCATCGCCAAAAAAAGGAACTCCAAGGATCAATCCGCCCTCACGGAACTCAGTCTTTACGTCTTCCACGGCCGCTTGCTACTTCGGACCCCATCCCCACTTCTGGCCTTTGCGCACAAGCTTTCGCAAGTACTCCACTCTGGCGGCAAACCTGCGGATGAAGATGCGCCAAAATCCGCAACTTCCGAGGAAACTTCGCACATCCGTGATTGACTTGAAAGGGGTCGGTCATTCCAAAATTTTATTAGTCTTCTTCGCATCCGGCCAGCGACCTTTCTCATCCCAAAGGAATCCCAAGATCACTGCTCTCTTCATACAATGTCGAGACTTAATCCCACTAGCTGTAAGATTAAACTCTTTCAACCTCTTAAGAACTTTCACCACATCATTGATATGTTCCCAGACCAATCGGCGAACGCCAGGCAACACCTCCGCCCGGTCTTTCGTATGAGACCCTGGGATAGCTAAGTCGTCAATATACGGCAAAGTTATGTTAGAACAATAAGGCTGCATAACCCTCGTCATATATCTCTGAACAATGGCAACGGCATTTGTCCACCCCTGCGGTGCCACACACATATGGATCAACCCACGAGGGGTATGCATCGCCATCTTGGGTCGATCCGCAATGTAAATGGGAAATTGATCATACCCGAGATATAAATCGATCAGGGTGATGATAGACCTCCCTGCACAAGACTCCGACAGTAGGTCCGCATGTGGGAGTCCACCTGCGTTACGCACTGTCACCGAATTCAACTTCTGAAGGTCCTGAATCCATCGCAGAGTACCATTCGGTTTGATGAAACAGAACCATGGAGATGCATACGGCCCATAAAAATAATCTGCAACCTTTGTCCGGATCTTTCCATCGAGATACGCGACCACTTTACAGTGATCCTCCGGATTCGGACAACGTGGCCCTCTTACATTCCATGGTTCGTGTGGTACAGTATGAACTCTGATCATCGGGATTTTATCGACATCCAGCCTTCCTCGCTCATCATCATCAAACGCATAGGAGAGATGTTCCTCCTTCAATATATGGATGATATATTCTTTTTCCTGGTCAGTAAGGAGGTCCTTCTCCCCAATGATTATACTTCTCACTCTTTCTTTGGTTAACCGACATGACCCCTTTTTACCTCTCTCTTTCATTTCTCTGATCCACTCGCGCTCCTCATGATAATAGACTTCCTCCTCTTGAGTGATCAGAACAGGTACCGGCTTCGCGTTCACGCCTACTTTCTTGTACTTACGTTTTGCGCCGTTGTCAAGCCTGCGTCCTCTAAAAAAGGACCCTGTCGGGTGGAGGGCGATTCCTGATCTTCTCCCTTATTCCCCTCCGACGGGGAGTAAACGAGGCGCATAGTTCCTATGCTTCCGGTGTCCATGATGATTTCCGTCAAGGCTTGCACCACATTTGGATCAATCGCCGCATGTGTCGACACAAAATCGATTGCCTGCCCAATATCAGGCAGAGTCAGCGAGAACTCACAAGCATTCGGCTCCCGTCTCAACTTTTCTGACTCCGGGAAGCTATAGGATTCCGGGTTCAACCAGTTCCGCGAGCAATAAGGTCCTGTGTTAGCACACTTGACCACTTCGTAATAACCGCAGACAGGATCACAAAGGATTACAAACATGGTTCCATCATACTTGTTAATGATGATGCTCTCCGATCGACATAGGAATGCCCTTCCCAGAAGCACCTCGTGTTTTACTCTAGGTAACACGTAGAAATACGAACGGACCTTGACCTTTCCGATCGTGACGAGAACGCCACTGGTTGTTCCGCAAAATGGAGTTGATCCACGAGCTCCTACCAAAAACCCATAGTCATCTCGGTTGATCTTCAACCCAGCTTCGATGGCATGACGCTCACGAATGATGTTCATCTCGGCTCCATTATCCACAAGTGCCGAGTACTCCTGCTGTCCAATCTGGACCTTCATATGGTCGGTCGACACACTTCGTCAATCCATCTTTGTCCCAGGCGGGGACCAATTAGCCTCCGGCGGAATGACTTCGCCGAGCTTAACAGTCATGACTCTCTTACGAGTCATCCGCTGTTTAAACTCTTCTCGAATCTTCGGCGATACCGCCAAAATTTCCTTCAGCGTGACCAAGTCGCGCTGACTTTCCAGAATCTTATCGACGAGTCGCTCGATACCGACCCCGTGCTCCACGGGGATCGAGTAAATATTTTTCTTCTTTCGCGGCTCTTCCTCGCTTGCTTCAGCCTTCCCTTTCTCCGGCTCCCTTTCCAGTGCACGACGACGAGCCCGTTCTTCCTCTTCAGCCCGCAACTTCTCATCCTCGTTATCCTCATCGTTCTCACTAACGAGGATAGGCTCTTCTTCGACTGCCTTTTCAGACTCTCTTTCCTTCTGAAGCTGCTCGTCTCGTCGCCGCATCCGAGTCTGCACGGCTACAGTCGGGGCACTCCTCTTTAGCACAGGCCTAGGTCGCATCGTGCTTACCATTGGCCCAGTTTGTGATGTTTCTCTCGGAGCAGACGTCCCTGCTTGGCCAGACGCATCTTCCCTTTTATCACCCCATTCGCCGAAGAGAAAGACATTCGGCAATCCAGGCCAGACTTCCTCCATGTCCACGCAAAGTCGGACGATAGAGTCCCGGCATCGAGCAAGCCGCCTCGTGATGGTTTGTGCTTGTTCCACCACTTGCTACCTAAACCCTTCTGGTTCCGTCGGCGAGTCGTCAATATGTAACGTAGCTATAGCCTCCTCGACCTCGGCCAACTGCGCTTCTTCAGGAGAAGCAATCAGGAACGTCGCCGGCAGGGGACGACCCAATCGGCGAAACGCCTCCTTCCTCATACCCCCTTCAATGTTGGGGTCGATTGAATTCCCTTCGTAATCAAAGACTTCACCGCGTATCGTGGTGAAGACAATTCCTTCCTTCTCATCTCTTGACAGGAGTTGGCAAAACCGCATAATATGGCCCTTTTCTGCACAATAGTTACATGTGTCTTCCTGCTGCCACGCCCAACGGCTTCGCTGTCCGTTCCCACGGCCTCGACCTCGGCCTCTTCCACCCTGTGGTTGGAACAGCCCTTGATCCTGCGAATTTTGTCCAGACGAACCACCGCCAGCACCGCCATTCCCTCCTTGATTATTTTGTCCGCCATTCTTCCCCTGCTTACGGGAGGTCCCTTGTCCACCTCGAATTTGATTGAAGACCTTCCTCTCCGCCTTTGTCAACTTACGAGGCGGCTCCTTTTCCTCCTCGCTCTCACTGTCACTTTCCTTTACCACCGGCTCTTTCCCCTTCCTCTAACTATTTTTCTCTTTGGCCAACATGACTTGAAACTTCAGCCTTTCCTCTTTCATGCCTTCCATCATTTCTCTCATGCAAGTCAAAGTTTTATAGATCTCACCGTCCTTTACCTCTCCCAGCTTCACCTTCTCCCGTTCCTCCTTTTGTTGCCTCAACAGCCGGTAGAGGATATCGTCGAATTTCCGCACCAGCGCATTTTGTCGGACCTTGGTCCAGTCATACCTCCCTTGCATCCCTTCAACCAACTTCGACTGTTCAACGTCGTTGAAGTTATCAAGGAAGATGAGGCAGCGATCTTTATCGGATAAATCCGGGATTAGGCGAGCCACACGCTCAAACTGCGATAAGAATTGTTTGGTAGTACCAAACATCTTACGATCCACCGTCTTCAAATCTCGCAGGTCGAGTAACCGATCGCTGAGCTCGTACTTCTCCAGCAACCGCGCCTTAAAATCTGACCAATTACGGGAGATTCGCACCAGCTCATCGATCTCATCTCGGTACTCCACCTGACAGTTCTCTTAACCATGCGAAGCATCTTCTCAGCCGTCCATTCGTTGCTATACCCGAGTTGCTCAAACTTGTCTGCCCAAGAAGAGGCATGATTCCCATCGAACAATGGAACATCAATCTTGGGGTAGGGCTCTCGCTGCGACTGTCGGATGACCCGTGTCAATTCTTGAATGTCCTTCCTCCCATCGTCGACGTTGTCGCGACGTCCTGCGGCACCGTCCATCTCGAAACATAAACCCAAGAAATCAGTCTAGGAGTTTTCGTGACATCTATTAAGGTTCCTTCCTTACATTTATAGAGCATCCGAGATTACTAACATTTTTTCTTAGACAACCACTACGGCACAATCTTTCACTTGCTTCATTCCCGAGTGTCGTTCCACCAGGGACAACGGTAGTTTGCCGTTATCCCCGGCAACGGCGCCACCTGTCGAGCGCATCGGCCCCCACGTGAGCGAGGGCCCTCCCGGCCACGTCACGCGGGAAAAACTTAGCTTTCCAACTTCTTAGAGACAGCTTGGGGACAACACGGTAACCCGCATCGACCGGTCACCGCTCCGGCCGAGTGCGCCAACTGTATATCCCACGGTCCCCTAGGACATGATAGGTTTCCGCGGGGCACAACTTACCTTCCCTAAGGGGTTGTCACCACCCTTAGGGGCGTATCCCTACCGAGCTACCAACCCACATACGAAAGTTTTTATAATGCTGTTGCAGAGGTAGGGCGGCCGAGGGCGTTTGCTCGTTCACTGTAGCATAGGTACGTATAGTTAAACGCCCAAGTGGACCCGAACGTCGTCTGTCCCTGGGGCGCTGATCTCCCAGGAATCGGATTGACGTCGGTCGACTAGGACGTGACGTTCCAAGCGTAAGGAAGACTTCTAGCGATCCTAGTCCCTTCTTTCGAAGACAATCAACAGTCACTCAGAC